CCAGCTACTCTACTGAATCTGTCAATTAAGTCTAGAAGTCTTTTGGCCAAGTATTTTGGGTCTTCTATGTAAAGTATCATATCACCAGCAAATAACGACAGATTAACTTCTTCCTTTCCTATCTTTATTTCTTTTATTTCTTTCTCTTTTTTAATTGCTGTGGCTAATTTTTCCAGAACTATATTGAACAAGAGTGGTGATAGTGGGCATCTTTAGCTTGTTCCTGATTTTAGTGTGAAAGTTTTCAGGTTTTTTTTTTTGGTACCAGGGATCAAACTCCAGTCCTTGAGCTTGCAGGGCAGGCAGTGGAGCCACTGAGCTAAATCCCCAGCCCTAGTTTTCAGTTTTTGACCATTTAGTATGATGTTGGCTGTTGGTTTTTCATAGATAGCTTTAATTAGGTTGAGATAAAGACCTTCTATTCCAATTTTATGTAGGGTTTTTATCATGAATGGGTGTTGGATTTTGTCAAATGCCTTTTCTGCATCTATTGAGATGATCATATGTTTTTTGTCCTTGGCTATGTTAATATAGTGTATTACATTTATTGATTTATGAATGTTGAAACATCCTTGCATCCCTGGGATAAATCCAACTTGGTCAGGGTGTATGATCTTCTTGATGACACTCTGTATTCTGTTTGGCAGTATCTTGTTGAGGATTTTTACATCTATGTTCATTAGGGAGATTGGCCTGTAGTTCTCTTTTCGGGTTGGGTCTCTCCCTGGTTTTGCAATCAAAGTAACACTTGCTTCCAGGAATGAATTTGGAAGCCTTGCTTCCCTTTCAATTTCCTTGAAGAGTTTAGAGAGTAATGGCTATAGTTCTTCTTCAAATGTGTTGTAGAATTCAGCAGTGATGCCATTAGGACCTGGGCTTTACTTTGTTGGTAAAATTTTATTACATTTTCAATTTCACTTATTGTAATTGGGGTGTTTGGAATTTCTATATCTTCTTCATTTAACTTGGCCAGTTCATATGTATCTAGGAATCTGTCTATTTCTTCTGTGTTTTCCATTTTATTAGAGTACAGGTTCTCGAAGTAGGTATTGATGATCCTGTTTTCTGCTGGGTCTGTGTTGACTTCGCCTTTTTCATTCTTAGTTGCATGGATTTGAGC